TTTTTTTACAGTGCCATTTTTGTTATTCTAATATGTGGACTACTTAATTTGACTGTTAGTGTTGTTAACATAACCTTCATTCACCGTATGTGTTATGTGAATGTGTTCTCTCACTTGTTTTTCAGGTGTTGGTCATATATCGGTCACAGAGTTGCAGGAGCTCAGACTCTTTCCATTGGAGAAAGTTGTGGAATAAAAGCATTTATTGAGCATTTGTTTCTCCATGCACTGGGATTTTTGCATGAGCACACAAGATATGACAGAGATGATTATGTGACCATCAACTTCAAAAACATCATTAAAGGTTGCTCTATCATTTTTTTTCATATATCAATTTTTTTGATGAATTTGGTGAATTTGCTTTACTGAACCTGACACTGAAGTGTCCATTCAACTTATAAGCACTTTCAGTAAATAACCAATTCCTTATGAAGATTAACCTTAATAAATGCATTAGTCTTTATTTTTAGGGTATGAGAGCAATTTCGATAAATACAGTGAGAATCTGACCACCACCCAAGACACCCCATACGACTACTACTCTGTGATGCATTATTATAAAGATGCCTTAAGCAACGGTAATGGATCCACAATCATTACTAAGCGTCCTGAGTTCCAAAATGTGATTGGTCAACTCCTGGACATGAGTGAATATGATGTGATTGAACTCAACAAACTCTATAAATGCAGTGAGTATTTCCCACATTGTTCTTTTTTTTTAGTTTGAATGTGTATTCTGCAGCATTACTGTGAACTTGTGATTGTTAAATATCTCATTAGGACTGTGTCTGTTGTAAGAGAGACAGATGAATGGCAACTGTAATGATGTGCCATGTAAAAACGTAAACAATGTAATATAAATTAATTTTACAATAATGACTCAATAGTGACATTACATTATCTCGTACATATAGTATTAGAAAGGCAGAATAATATTGTGCACAAAGACATTATATTTTTTCCCTCATAAATGTTTGTTTGTTTGTTTGCATTACAGATTCGTCCATCTCTTTCCTTGATCACTGTAGTTTTGATAATGAATCTGTTCATGATGAATCTGTTCAGATGAGCGTCTGTTCTGCTGCTGATTATGGCTGGCAGATAGTAAAGTCAGTGAGTGGCATCAGTGTGACTGACCACACATACTTGGGTAAAGAACAAAAGGGTGAGATCTGTTACAGTCAGTCTGTGAATGTGAAGTTTCTTTTTTGACAGTGTGTGCTTTTTCACAGAAAGAGACTTTAGGATGCAAGACAATCTATATTTTTATTGGCCAAAAAATGCCTCACTTCCAACCACAGTTGCAGTCACTGTACTATCCAGTTCCGCACAACTTCTGTTTACACCTGTTTTCATACCTGCAGGTGTGTCTTTCTTCATGCACTTCAGCACTAAGGGTAGAAATGAGGGGGACGCAGCCAGAATGGAGAGCAAGAAAATGACCCCCAAAAGAGACTGCAAAGTCCAGTGCCTGCAGTTCTACTACTATCACAGTGGTAATGAGTCTGACCAGCTCAACATCTGGATCCGAGAATATCAGAATGAAGCAGACAGCAGAGGAACTCTCAGACTTATGGATCAGATCACAGGTCAGTCTCTTTCTCAAATACATATAGGCCTGTACATCAAGATGTTTCTTACATTTTCCATGTTACTGACCATTACATTTTTTGCAGAACCCCCTGGCAATTACTGGAAGCTGCATCATGTGCCACTGAATGCAAATAAAACCTTCCAAGTTGTATTTGAAGCCCGTAAAGGAGCTGGAAACTCCAGTGGAGGATTTTCA